CTTTAGAGAGCTGCTCTCTTACCGATATGAAAAAGTTCCGCACGCTTAGCCAACGGGGAGCTGGGCACATGTAAGTTTCATGGAGGTCGACAAATTTTTACCACGTGAAAATTTCCGTGTAGGTTTAATAGCACGTTTTCACTCACGTGGCCAGCATTCATACAAATTTATTGGAGCAAAATAAAGCGTAAAGAGTTCAACTCCCACATGATTGGTTTGGTACACCAATATGGCCGCTGTTTCATTGTTTTTGAACACCAATATGGCTGCCGTGACGTCATGTAAAACGCTCTATATATGAGGAAGCGCTGCCTGGACAAGACTGACTAATTCATGTTGGAATATTTAAACACTTGTAATGGGACAACTTTGTTATGTCAAAGTTCTACTTTTTTCCGAGGCCTGGAGGAATAAAGCAAAAGAATCACATTTAGGTCGAGGAATGAAAAAATATTTTTGTATTCCATTAAGTCTCGGTGCCAAGTTAGAATTTAGCACATCGATACTGGCAAATTTTGAATTCCTGCTGAATTCTTAACCTCCGATAAGTATGTTTAACAAAAAAGCAAAACACGATAACGGAGTGAGGACATTCCTATTTTCGTTTTGCAAGTTCTTTTAAAATGTTAGAATAGTAATATTTTATGGACTTTCAACCCTTAGTTTAGTTGAACGAAAAATATATTTTTGATTTGTTTATTTTAGCAGTGTCTATATTATTTTAACAGTGTGTATAGTTTGCCATAGTCAGCTCTTATTCCCACTGTTTACCTTCATCTTCCTTCCCGGCAAGGTTAACAGGCTTAAATGGTCCCAATATTTTGCCTTCATCGACAAGACACCCCACCGTTCTTTTTAACTGTCCCGGCATGGCGTGGTTTCCGTAATCCTTCCAAACCACTCCCACTCCAAGACACCTTTGCTTTCCTATTTCCTGAATAAGAACCTTTAAGAGTGGACGAAAGAATAAAATTTATGTCACGCTATCAAAAGACAAAGTAGATATAAAGATGATCATGTATACTAAACGTCCTTGATGCCATAGGTGTTGTTGTTGTTGTTGTTTTCCTATGTTGTTTGTGCTGATGATGTTGTTGATGGAAATGATTATCATGACTTGTGTTTATTTCACTGTCTCCTCCACAGGCGTTTCTTTATTGTTTTCTTAGCGCAAGGGGGGATTGGGATATTTTTGATAATCGCGCGGGGGACTGAGGACGAGGTAGTTTATTTTACCGACCCCGACTTTAATACAATTTCCTTGCATGACACATTGGACAGGTGAAATCATTGACCAGTGAAAATGGCTACAGTATTTCAAATCATGCTGGAACGTCATGTGAAAGGTCTGCTTTCGAAAATGAAGTCTTAACTGTATCAGTCTGGCCTTGAGACTGGTTTCATCTTACAAATACAGTGGAACCCAGCCTTACGGCCACCAGTTCATATGGCCACCTTGTCATTATGGCAACTTTATTCTGGTTCAAACAAAAGCTCAGTCAGTCCCGTGATTTTCTTGTATAAAGAACCCTTTTAACACAGCCATTCCATTATTGTGGCCCGTTGGTGACCGGATTAACGGGGTTCCACTGTACTAGTAAGCAAGATGTGATTGACTAGCCACCTGGGTTATAATGCACTGTTAAAGAGATTTCACTCATACGCACCTCAAGATGGGGAAATTCTGGAGAAAAGGGCACGAGATATCTTGCGCCATGGCATTCGTCTGATTCACCATGGCAGGTGTCGCAGAAGTTTCCTCCTTCACAAACCAGGAGAGAGCCTTCTATTCTAATGCCTTGACTCTGCCACGCCTAAAGAAAAGAAAGAGTTGAACCACTTGTCTCTATCCATAGAAGGTTTAATGTGGCCCTCTGGGGGCTTTTAAGACACTCCCCCAGTAACTCATTGAGTATTAAGGCTACGAAAATGAACCTTAGACAACCTATACCACGTCCACGAACATTTTCGTTGATACTATTAACACGGAGTTGTGAGGACTTATGACGTAGTAATGATGCCATTCTAAAAGACGCCAGCATGGATCGTTGAGTTTAGGAAAACCACTAAACAGGCTCAAAAATAGTCAAAAATAATAAAGATTTTCTTGGAGGTAAAAGTGCATTTTCGGCTGACCTTTGGACCAGTAGGTAGCATTCCTTGATCAGGCACATGCGTTGTGAAGGTCCTGTGAACAATCTGATTGAGCAGTTCCCGGTTCCCCTCGGTTTCTCGAATTAATTGGTCCATCTTTCTGTCATCTGACGTCAAAAATGAAGAAAAAAAGCATTACTGCCGTAGCTGAAGCCAAAACTCTTAGAGATGACTAAAAGTGTCTCAGTAAGGAAATGAGCCGGAGTAAAAGAAAGCTTTAAGTTTGCGAAGTAAATTTTTGTGCTGATGACAGTAAAAGCAAAGGCTGTTTAATTAGTTTCGCATGAAAGGCGAGACAAAAGGACATAAAGTAATCTTAGGAAAGAAACAAAATTGCATAAAGCCTGCCAGTTACCCTGTGCGATCAAACCGCTATGGATTTGAGTCGCGAAAACAGTTTCTTTATAAATTTTAAAAGCGAGTTATGCAGGTTTTATGATCTTCCAATAAATAGTCTTACCAGTAAGAGGAAAAGAATTTCCATAAGTTGCAAAATATGTTTGCAGAAGATTTTGAACAACCGCATTCAGAAATTTGTTCTGTTGAGTAAAAAGAACCAAGATCACAAACAAAAAGCCATTGTGTGGGTCTCTAAATATTAAGTAATAGGAATTGTCGCGCTGTCGGATAAATCGTCTGCTGCAAGCACGAGAAACGTAAGGGGCAATCGAGACTTTACGTGCTTTCAAGAATTTTCAATTGTAAGAAGCTTTCCCTTCTGTTTGCACTAGGTTATGTGGAGAGGAGGCGTCTGCTTTCATTTCATGTATAAAATACAAACACGTCAACAAACCTATTGAAGACGACTATAGACAGCCACGGTTCAGGGTGCGCTTTACATGAATGAATTTTACAAACATGCAGTCACTGGAAAAGTTGAAAATTTCCATGGACATGTCAATTTTAATTTACAGTATGTAAATCTTGATTTACATTCTTTGTAAATTACAATTTACATGTTAGGGTTTTGTAAAATAAAATTACAGGAAATTTACAGCTTTTAGTACAGCATGTAAATGTTCTGTAAATAGTGATTTACATTGTCTTTGTCGAGAATGATCATTTGAAGAACATGTAAAAACCTGTAAAATATTTTACGCACTTTCACAGTATCTGCCTTTGTAAAAAACATGTAAATTGCTTTGCTAAACCACGTGAGAAACGTGTAAATAATTCAACCGAACGCTGTAAAAAGTCTGGAAATGTTATGTTTGTAACCCTGTAAAAACCATGTAAATGGGAAAAGGGGGCCTGTAAGAAACATGTAAAAACCATAAATGAAAAAAGGGGGCCTGTAAGAAACATGTAAAAACAATGTAAATGAAAGAAAGGGAGCCTGTAAGAAACATGTAAAAATCATGTAAATGGAAAANNNNTCCTGGCACATTGATATTATTAAATATAAATACAAGTCTTATATTTCGCCCTTCATGTACCTGCATGGAGCACGAATGCGACTACGCGAAACAACATTTATATCGTATCTTTGTTTATTTTTAAGAGTGTGTCCACGAGAAAACCAGGCAGAACCAGGCAGGAGGCGATACAGCTCAAATCACCAATTGCGCTCAAACTTGGCACAAATTTTGGGTTTGATGAGTAAATGACTGTGGAAAAACAGTAGGTCAAAATATTTGATTCCCATCAAGTTAGAGGGACCCCCTGCAAAAATGGCCATTTGACACTAATTTATGCATATTTAATTAGCCATCTTTAGTTTAGTATTTCTACAAACTTGATGGGAATCAAATATTTTGACCCACTGTTTTGCCACAATCATTCACTTACCAAACCCAACCTTTGTGCCAAGTTTGAGCGAAATGATTTGAGCTGTATCACCTCCTGCCTGGTTTTCTCATGGACACACTTTAAATGTGGTAGACTGGAATAGAAATGTTTGTGAGTAAATGATGTTGAAGAAATACAGTAAAAACCTGCATATAAGAACCTACTAGGTTTCTTCAAGTTAGCCTCCATGGGTTCTTATATAAATTTTGCTTAATGCGAAATTAGGTTCTTATATCAGGTTCTTAATTTTTTTTAAAAAAAACGACAACTTGTACTCATGGGTGTGGCCGTCATATTGAATCAATCGCAGTACAGTACTGTGGTCTTATAACACTGCCAGTGTTCTAGCTTGCTTTTTTTTTACTTTTTATTGCATCGCATGTGATGTACCGTATTATATTTGAAAAAACTTTATATTTTGAAAATGTGTATTGATATTTTAGCCTAGAATGGTTCTTATGTGAAGAGTGCTTAACTGGGGAATTTGTAGCCCAACAGGGTCTTAAATGTTAGGTTCTTATACGTGGGTTTTTACTGTATAATCCTGTGGATAATGGAACGGGCTGATTTCAATTTTTATTACAAGTGCAGAAGAAAGAGCCATTGTTTCCAGGTTAGGGGCTTTGCACACTTATTGACTTAGAAGCTGTTTGATCAGTCATGTATTGGAGATCACATTTGCATTGGACCAACCATACACTGGTTTTCACGAAGAAAAAAAAGACATAGCCAAAACTTGTTACCTTCACTCGCTGGTATGTGTTCGACAGGAGAGCTATCATCACGTTGACAAGGAGAACTACACCTCTGATAAGAAAGGCCCCATACAATAATTGAGCCAGCGTCACTGAGGCACTGTCACCAGAGTCCAGAGGATCCAATCCCTCTATACCCAGCAGAGACCAGCAAAGATGTTTAAACAACGCCCACCAACTTAAAGAGAGAAATTGACGTTTTGAAAACATTAGAATTATAAAATTTAATCGAAAGTTCCAAAAAGCTGGACGTACAGCAGGAGGGTAGCTTTGCACGTCCTGTGAGAAGGACCCATCCCTTGATCAGCAAGCTCAACAATTTAGGCTGTCTTTTCAATACTTAATCTTTCTTTTATTATATGTATACATGCTCATTATCATTCTCTCCCGTAACATTTGTAATGAAGAAGAAATTGAAGATGTCTCTGACGAAACATGTCTGTTAAAATGAAAATCGTCGTTTTATTTCTAAACCAAATTTATAGTTATGCGTTGCCGAGCCTAGCTTAAGTTATAAGCAGGAGGATCTAACTTACCAGGCTATCCCAGAGGTATTGCAGACCCTGAAATATAAACCAGGTGTCCCAGTAAGTAATTTAGACTAGTTTGCCCATGTTTTTGTGGCCACATAGTGGCCCGGGTGGCTCTTATAGGAAAAGGTCAGGGATGCTCGTCAGAAAATTGGAGTTTACCAAGGAGATGAATCTGGGTGTGGTTTGAGTTTTATTCGGATCCCTAAAAGAGACCACATAAATCCGAAATGACAGCGTTTTTCCAAGTATTTCTTTCGATGCACCCTAAAAGAGATATGAGGGCTAAAAATAGTGGCGTTTTGTTCTTACACCCTAAGCCTTGAAATACTCCTGTAAGCGAGAGGACGAACATCCCCGACCTTTTCATATGGAGTCCCTTCGTGCATAGAAGTGGTCGTTTTCGACTTACGGTCAGGTCAACTATGTAGAGGAGATTATATTTCTTTTGCATGAACATGTCCAAAATTAGGTACACCACAGGACACGCGAAAAAGTTCCAAAAGTCACCACATCCCTACATGCACTTGCTACCGTCCGAAAATCGCAATGAAAATTTTTAATGTTGTTTCAAAAATGGCTGGCCTCCCAGCCCCTCGAGTCTTTCTACCTCCCTAATTTAGGCAAAGGAAAAGGTTGTCATTACTTTCGAAACTAAAAGGTGTTTGCTTGACACAAAATTCAACGCCGATATCAATATAAATCAAGGTCACTCAAGTACGACTGATCAAGCGACTAAAGCATGTTAAAATAGGTCACTATTTTCAAACCGTTGTGTCATACTCACAGGTTATCTTTATAGCTTTCCTGGGCAATGTACGACTTTTCTGCCATATACACCTTTGTTATGGCGATTGAGAAAGCCAAAATGGTCGCCACGAACTGCCAAAATATCGTAGCAATGTCACCAATGAACTGGAACAAAGTTATTTGAATGGTACCAATCTCTTGAATGGTCTCCATGACATGACCAAACGCCCTAAGTGTCAAGAACATGGTGTTGAGGCCGTACAGAAAACTGGCTATGACAAGAGGTCGGTTGTTGGTCACTGACGCAGACGTGGCCCATGTCAACATTCTCAGCAGAATGGTGATCAAGTAGATCACTAGAGTAATGGAATTCAGAATGTTCCATCTATCGCTGAAAGGAAGCAGCAAAAGAGAAAATTAATGAATATAATTTGACAGCATACCATTCCGAATTGAGATAGGAAATGGCCTCAGAAACAGGCTTTCCATTCCAAAACAGGGTCACGCCTACGGTTTCTGTTCCCGCAGTACTGATGCTTAGCTCGAGAATTCTGGCTTTGATTTCTGGCTTTGATTTGACGAGGAACAGCATATTTTGTTGTAAATGACACAATTATATATTTCCTACCTGCCGACATCGATCGAAGAGCGAGTTGTCGAAGGCCGTGGGTGACCCAGTTTTGGCGCCAAATTAAACGTTTGAAGACAAACTGTTCAAATTTTCCCCTTTGTAAATCTGATATGTTTTGTTATTATAAATCCCTTTTCTTAAATAATGAATGTTTTGTCTAGTGAGAAACGTCGCCCGACTTCAATGCCTTTCTGACATCAGGCCGACTGGCACACAAGTTTGCCGCTGTTATTGTTTCAAGGTGCATGACCTGATCACGTGAGAGTCGAAAGTTAAAGTTAAGTGAGTTTTGTTTGCCCTAGGGAGTTAGTGAGTTTTGACCCATGATACGTGACACGTTCTCCTCCAATCAGAAACCGAATTTAAGTTGGAAGGTATAATTAAGTGATTTGATCGTTCACGTTTCTGATGATCGTTTCTTTTGATCGTCTCACGTTTCAGTTCGATTTTTATGTTCTACGATTTTCATGACCAATCTCATTAAATACGAATTACATAAGTGCGTGCTGTGGAAGTTTATTTCGCCCAACAAAAGAAAGTTGGACTTCCTCATGAGATCACTGCAGTATCTTGTGAAAACTCCACACAGAACTACAAAGGAGAACTGGGATGAACTTTCAAAATAAACCTTGACGAGAATGATAAAAATACTGGTTTAATGAGACTACTCACTAGTGGAGAACTGTTTATCAAGGAGGGGGAGAGAGGTGTTTTATCCATCATTGGCAGAACACGTGTTGCTGCTGATTCTTTTTCGTTTTTTTAAGAAAAAGCTACTTCCACAATACCTTAGGTATTTTCCACATATCTTTGCAAACATAGTTGATCTTGATACTCGACAGCGTTCTTCATCTTCTTTACCTTCTCCATTCTCACCACCCCTGATTTCATTCTGTGCGCCTTGCTCTTCATTTTTATTGCACCTTGTATATTTGTTCCCCATCTGCTTCTTAATCACGATGCCTCTTCCCTGATCTACTTTGACGTTCTGAAACTGTTTACTCTCCATCAGTATTCGACCCATAAAGAAAATCAGAATGACCCACTCTAGACCGCTGAACGGAATGACCGAGGGCGAGAGACACAAGGCAAAGTGCAGGCCAAGAAGGGTGAGATAACTCAGTGCCTCACGGACGAATATGAAGTAAGGTGTCGTGAAATACTCGTGGTAGCTCTCTGCGATAAAGTTAAATAAACCAGTTAAATGATTGCTCAACAAGCTTGGAATTTCCTTTTGAATGACTCCTTTTTATTTCGTCGAAATAAAGGAAGATGCAATAAACAACTAACCGTACATATCTTTTCCTTGCAGGTCTGTTGAAAACAAACAAACAAAAAAACAGTAAAAACGAAATCAAACGGTCTGTGGTAAGGCAAGTTTTGGAGGGAGGAAGGGGCGTACGACTTGCTCAGAGTCGCTCTTCGGAGCACGTGACAAATGAGATCACAACCAACAAGCCTTCATAGAATGTTTCTTCATTAGAATATCTTCCAACGTGTAATTTCATGATACTCAATGTTTCAATTTGAAGTAAAAACTAACGGTAAATTAAAGCGCCCAACGTTTCGACCGAGCTTCAGTCATTGTCAAGTTAAAAAGTGAAGATAAAAATTTTGCATGAGTATAAATATAAAACAAACAAGTAAAAGTATGTAAAATATGAAAATGTAAAAGAGGGTGTTAAGAACAATAAAATTCATGCAAGAATAACATAATCAAAAATGAATTTTCAACGACGAAACGATGTGCTCCTCGACCTAGTTCCCACTTGTTTTTGCTCATGTGTATAACCTCCTTAATTTCAGACGCCAGGACTATAATGGCCATTTCCAAATACCCGTTAACAAAATACTTGCGATTATGTTAAATTGCTTTTCATTTTATCATTACCCGTTCCCGCGGTCGATCAGCTAAAAGGCACTCTTCATAGCCACGTAATTGTTGACGTCATCGCACACCGTATGCAAAAAAGTTTTTGCAAGCAGTGTTTCAACCCGGTGTATGCCGGGTCTTTATATCGACAAAGTTATTGGGCATTTCAACTTTTTCAGGTGCAAGTAATGCTTTGAAAGTTCTTATAATAATTAAGAATTGTTTTAATTATCGATGGGTTTCCTCTAAAATTTTACCGCTGGGAAGACAATTTTGGGAAAAGAAACTAGGCTGAGAAATTCTGTTCAGATTGTTAATGCCTCTTCAAGGCCCTTATCGACCTACATCAAGAACAAACAACCTCCCCAGCGATAAATATCACAGGGTTACGTTATTGCTATACCGTGCCAAATCCGTGTGGAGACTGTCTCTGGTTTTTCGTATTCTCCAAAGTGGATGATGTCTAGTTTATTATCGGTGATAGTCTCTAATTCTCGGATATTGACGTGAGGTCCAACGGCAACCGGGAGTAGCTTGATGTCCTTCATGGCTTTTACTTGATTCTCTACCAGGCCCCTCTCATGTTTCGTACTTGTCTTGTGATCCGTGAAGAATATTACTACCTGCCAAAAACTAATTTGTAAGTTTTATGGGAGCTCCAACGGCCCGAAGGACCGCCAAGCGAAGCCCATACCCATATAGCAAAGAAAAGCAAACCCATGAATTGATTTTCTCATGATTATCATGGCTAGCGGTATTGCTCGTGGGCGCGTACGCACGACGAAAGCGACGAAGTCACCCAAGATGGCGGCCATACTCCAGCTAATGGGTTGACAGAGACATGAACCCTCGATTTAACGCGTCCCTCTTTGATATTGAAAATCCATGTTATGGTCAATTGATGCCTGTCAAAACAAGATATCCGCTGACCAGTATCATGTTACCATATCCCGGGCTTAAGTTTAGAGCTCATCGAGGTCAAGTGTGTTTTTTTTTAATTTACCGCAGACCAAGAGCTGTTTTTTTATTGGATCGCGGGTTCATGTCAGGTTAACTTGTTGTAAACAGGTCCGGGTTGTTCGGAAGCCGGTTAACGCTAACCCACGATTGTTAAAGTTAACCGAAGTATAATTTTTTCTTGTATATAAATGCTTTTCACTGCTTTTGTTTTGTGTATTTTGAGGACCTTGAGATTATTCAAACTCAAAACAGGCCAAACAACATAAACGGAACACCTCCCCGTAAAGTTACAAAACTCAAATCAAAATTCTCGCTTATCCTGGGTTAGCTTAATCGGGCTTTGAACAATCCGGCTCAGGAGCTGCGCTTTTAGGCTTGGTTAAATCTATATATTAGTGATACTTAAGACCTTATGGTACAGTTGAAAAGGAAACCATTGGTTCTTCTTCAATTTGAAAAAAAATGCTTACAGCATACTAACTGCTTTTTAACTAATCACTAGTAGTTTCACTTTTATGCCCTAGTCGCTATGGCAGTAACAATTTCTTTAAAATTTGAATTCTAAATTGACAACTTTAAAGAAATGCTATTCAGACGTACTCTCTTGGCGCAAACTTGCTATATTGTCTTCGAATGGTAATAAACAAATTTTTCCTGACCAACTTTAAGGAAACATGATAGGAGGAGCGATGTAATGTAGATCTGTAGGTGCTCTTAATAACAGTTTATCGAGGTTTACTCTAGTGTATTGTGTACTTGTGATTGTGAAAGGAAAAAAAGATAAATACAAAGCGAAGCTAAAAGCTGTCAAATTTTGCGACTTCATAAGGAATTTTTCTGGGAACAATTTCATATGACATGCCGTTGCATATCCTGCGTCCATGAACTATTCAAAAGGCCAATATACAATATATATTTCATTTCCCTTAAGAAAACTGGGGCCTTAGGTGCCCTCTCCACCGAGGCAACTTTACTGAAGCCGAGGAGAAAACTGAGCGGTCCAGTCTGCCGTAATCGTATTGAGGCAAAATTCCGATTTAGCCGACGATTTTCTTGAGCCCGGTCTAATCTCAGATCGAATGATTGGCCCATTATGCTTTAAGAAAAGGAAATTGCCGATATTGCATAGGTTATTAAATTAAATGCTATATCTGCATTTGATTCATGGCCTTTATGAAAATCTATGTGATGAATTGATCCATGGAAGTTCTTGTGAGATTATTTAAACTGGATCGCACCGGCTGACCCACCGACCGATGTTTCAACTGATTGTAATTATTTTACGTAGTAAATAAAAACACAATGAAGGGGGCAATCCAAATTTATAATTAACTAGCAATCACAATTTGTTACCTTCTCTGACTTCTTTTTGGAGCTGCGAATTAGGAAATCAGCGTTCGTAAGGTCTTCATGAAGGGCAGGAATCTTTGTAGTTTCTCTCTTGAGTTCTAATTTCCCAATGTCACTCTTGGAGCACATTTTTCTTGGAGAGGAATCATCTCCGTGAATAACAACTTGATATCTGGTTTTGTCATCTCCATGTTTGTCGACGAATTCCTTTATGGATCTTTTCATCAGGTTGAAGGCTTTGTTCGCATTCTTCGAAGTTGCATTTATCAAAAAAGCAATCTCTATTCCTAAGTTGAAAGATGACGCACAGTGTTGTTTGAAGCAGTGGGAGGGCAAAGTTTACAACTCATGGTAGGAAATTTCACTTCATCATTTGCATGTACTATTTTCTTAACCAAAAGGGCGTCTCGGTAGTGAGCGTATGAAAACGAGCACTGAGCGCGAGGTCGACCTCGTTTATTTGCGCTTGACCCACCCCACCTCACAGCATTTGTTCAGTTGCTTGCGTCTTCGTGAAACAGATCTAGACTAGGATAGATCCCAGTACACGCTCAGTCAGGAGTAGGAACACTGGGGAAAGTTTTTCTGGAAGCCTAAGTAACAGTTTTTCCGTTTTCAAGGTTAAAACGGTCGGTGAAAGAAATGAAAAATATGTTATTCCTTAATTGGACAACAGATGACCCAAGAAAACAGAAACATGGCACAAACATGTTTTCCGACAAATCCCGGTTTGAAAAGTATGCTTGATTCAAAATATGAATCTTTCATTATACCTTTGTCTTTCAGCTTGTTTTTGTTCCTGCGGTGCTTGACGTAAAACACAGCGAAAAGAAACGGAAACATCACTAAATCAAACAAGCACCAGATGTGCAGCAAAATCCACAGCCAGCCTTGCAGTGATAGCCACGAACATCTCTTCATTCTGCCAAACTTTCCCAGCCATTTATCACTCATCAAGTTGAAAATTACCGGATGTGCAAAAAACTGAGAAATCAATGAGAAAATTATGACTGTAGGAGCGAAAGGTTCATAAAGAATGCATAGCACTTCTGCCATTTGCTTTTAGTTACCTAATTAATCTCGCAGCTCGTGTTTAACTTAAGTCTGTTGTTTTCTATGTAGTAAATGTTGCATTTTATGCGTGGTATGGATCACTGGTGCAAATATTGTTAGGGGAATATGAAGGCGAAATATAAAAGTAGAAATTTTAAAGAACAATATGTTAGTTAATAGAAATGTAAGCCAAGTATACTTAGGAATGTATTGGGAGACGTGGTGAAGGTAGCACTGTCGTGAAAAAATTAAAAAAACTTCAAGGTAAAGAACAGTTTATAACCGACTTAAATTGGCAAATGGGATTTATTTTCAATGATTTAAGCAAAGTTTGGAAGAAATGTCTTGTCAGGATGAAATAAATTGGAAACAAATCGCTGTTTATGTCCCAATAAGGTCAGCTGTCTATTATGCACTGATAACAGACACATACAAGAAGAGAAGCTTACGAACGAATAGGAACATTTAAAATCGATAATAGATAGTTTGAATTTAAGTGAGTTTTTCAAAGCTTCTATCTACGATTGATCTGTTCTACATGACCTACAAAGCCGCTTACTGTCTTTTGTTTCCTGTCAATCCCAGCATCCATTAGGTCATCTAAAGAATCCCCAAATACATGATGTGCTTCTGTGTTGGATTTCAGAGGATCGAGTAAACAAGAAGTAAACTCGTCCACTGAGCTAGCCATCTTCGCAAACTCTTCTGCCACGGGACCTTTCTCCTTTGCCAAACTGCGAAGCTTTGAATTCGCCTAAAAAACACATAGAATCTGTACAGGCCCGCAGACGATCCCCGTACCGGAAATGATCCCCAGATTATACCGTAAATGATCCTGGACCGGAAATGGTGCCTCGCCATAAATTTTGGAAATGTGAGGACTCAGGAATTTGGACAGTGGATTTAAAATTTCTGCAAGCGCTTTTTTTATTACTGTGAAACTCAGAAAACCGTGAAAATTTGGAATTGATACCAAAAGGTTAATTTGGTACTGAACCAATCACAATAAAGTTCAGGAAATGCTAGGAAACGTCAAAACCACAACCAATAGGCTGCGTTCGATATATCAATATTCTAACATCGATCCGAGGCTTTCAGGTCAAAATTACAAATTTTTTAAGTTTCCTTTGTCTTCAAATTCTAAAAAAAGACTTGGATACTAAGGAAACATCCCCAAACATAGAAGTTTGTTCTGAAAGCCTCGGAGCCCTGTTAGAATATTGATATATCGAAAGTAGTCTATTACCGCTGGTGTTTGCGGTTTAGTTTTCTCACGCTTGATTGGCTTTTTCCTTGCTACACAATAATGATCCTTAAATATTTCTGGTATTCACGGTTTTCTGAGTTTCACAGTAATAATACAATATTTTGATAGAACAGTTACTATATGAAACGCAAGAAAATGTGCAGTATGAACGATTTAAATGCAAATTTCACAATTTTAACAATGATATCCAACATCACGAAATCCTGTGTTTGAGACTTGTAGTTTAGCTAGATCCTTCCCTGAATGACTTTATTGGGTCCGGGCCTGAGATGTATGATAATTAGATGGCAGAGGCATCTTCGAAGATTCCTGGTTTTTTTTGTTTTGTTTTTGTTTTTGTTTTTTGCAGTGCGTTTCCTAAACGAAAACTTTATGAAGTCGACACATGTCAGTTTAGTATTTTGGTACGTTTTTTATTGCTGCTTTTATGCCTCAGGTACGTGTCTTTTCTTCACCTAGAATAATTGAGAAATATGTATCCATCCATAGACTTTTCATGGAGTCCACCTCATTCCTAACTTTTTGCGGTGGAATAAGTTTCAGTCCTGGGATCATTTGCCGTACAATTTGGGGGTCATTTGCGGGCCGGGATCATTTGAGGGCCTGTATACGAGTATTAGCGAATTCAAAATTGATCGTCAAAAAAGTTCGGTTACTCAAAGTTGTACAATTTAGCATGCTTATTCACATCCTTGGATTCAGCTGTTTTTGGAAGCACCATCGTCTTTCCTCATAATTAAGCATTCAAAGTGTTTTACACTGTATTATTTGTACAGTGGAGGAGCGTTGACTACCGGATCGAGCGGTTCCGTGGGTTCGTGCTCCGATCGGGATAATCGTCCCGTGTAACACACTTCACTCCAAATCACACGGTACGTCTCTCTTCACCCGCGGCCGAATTGTTCGAAAGCTGGTTAACACTAACTCAGGTAGTAGTGATTTGTCTTAAATAAAACTGTGTTTCATTTTTTACGGTTTGTCTAGCGTAAGATTACTCAAGCTCAAAAATGAAGGACAAACAAAATAGACATGGAGAAAACCTCAACGAAAAGTTAAAGAACTGAAATCAAATTTCTCTCTAATCCTAAGTAAGCTTAACCGGGCTTTCAACAGTCCGGCCCAGGTAAATGCATGGGTTAAAAACGGTTCGGTTGAAAATGGTTATTCTACACAAAGATCGCTGTATGTAAAACTAAAAGTAAGTTTGCTGTTCATATCCATACATTGTGATAAATTCCCTCGACATACCTCCATTGCAACAAGTAGCGCGTTTCTGCCACACTTTGCCATAGCTTTTGGTGTCAGTTCCTGTTTGATCTCATCAACATTTCCTCTTTCTATGATTTTTATTAGACTTTCTGCAAGCAAGAGAACAAATAAGAGAGATGGATTGTGCACTCTTTTGTCACTACATCCGCCGCTGGAGAAGTCTGGGTTTGACCCCTGGCCCAGTGTGTTCTTAACGTTAGTTGTGCTTTTGAGCAAAACTATGCAGCATTCATGTTGCCTTTCCCCAACCTAGAGTGTGACTGGGTACTGGAACATTGGACATGGACTAACATGTCATCAGTGGAAGTCAGAGTGATGCTACATTGTCAAGCCGCTTAACGCTGACGAAACCTCGGTTAAACGCCCTCACCGTTAAATACCTTGGACCCAGTTCAGTGCCTACTCATTATGGAAGAGGCTTTGCTTTTATATCAGGTAGAATATATGGGTAAAAGTTAGATTAGAATACGCTTTTAGTGTCTGCCAGTTTTGTCATATTTTCTGACTTTTACCCAACTAGTTTAGCTTCATAGTTATTTTGGGTGACCAGCAACTGAAAGTTGAACTGAATTAATATTGTATAATTAATTACTTTAGTTTTTACGGTACAAATAAACCTTGTTGTTGTTGTTGTTGTTGTTGTACTGTGAAGCGCATGTCAACATTATAGTACGGTACAGAGACTGTCATTACCTTGTTATTTGAATTTGGCATATTTGTTTCTAATGTTTAAATGCTCGGCCTAGCAGCCACATAAGAACTTATAGGATATTTCTCATTGATTACAATTACCCTTTGCATTGCCATGAGCATTGGCATGACCATTCCTGTTGCCATCATCGTCACCATCACCGTCGACGTCGCCTTTGCCATTGTTATCATCATTGCCCTTGTCATCGCCGACGCTGTCGTCGTCGCTGTCGCTGACCCCGTCGCCATTATCGTTTCCTACTTTAAAAGCATTCATGAGACTTGTTGATATTTTTTCAGCTGAATATTTGCAAATTAAATAATTTTCTGTTATTTTCAGTTTTTATTTGTGTCACTTAATGGTGAATGAAATTATCATGAATTTTTGAAGGGCGTGTCTTTGTTTATTCGTCCATTTGTCTCTTTAATTAATTAATTATCTTGACTTTTTTAATTGGAAGCCTAACCTCAGATGGCAATGATTTCTTACCCGTGAATTCCGTGATAAAGAAATAAAAACACGTCACTGTTGGCTTAAGGCCACTACTACTTGGAAATATGCAGACTATCCACCAACCTTTCCTATTGGGCTGTACAAATCTAAGTTTTGGATGATCCTCTTCCTTGGTTACATGGTCCATCTCAATGTTTACTTGCATCTTTGCCATTGATCCGCTAGGGCTCTGCGATATAATAAGACAGAAAAACAAGAAAAAATTTAACCAATGATTCTACATCTTTGTCGACACAAACTTTACTAGGCGATGCATAACTACCGTCAAACTCCACCAGTTTCAAGTTCAACGGCCGCGCTTTCAACTGTGCTATCCGCGTTGCTGTGCCACTGAAGCATAATTAAGTCAAGTGTGATATTCACATGACCCAATAAGTCAACGTCCTCCTGAGAGAAGGATGGACTTCCCCCCCCTCCTCCTCGTCCGTCTCCT